TTTTCAATTTTTATCCAGTTTGATATAGACTTGTTCTTAACTCTGTGAAGTCTGAAAAATGAATTTAACACGAACAAAGAAATCTGAGTTTCCTGTGTGTTTATTCAGAAATTATTTTTATAAATATAGCTATCTGATAAAAATCAGCTGTTTGTTTGGCTACGTTTACGACGTACGACGTAGTACTTTTGATATATTTTTTCACTGTGGCATTTATTTTTCATCTTTTAATCATTAAAAAAGGATAACAGCGTTATCTTTCCTGTCGCTTTAATAAAAATGCACTTTTCCTTTCAAAGTACACCAAGTACTAAAAACAAGATTAATTTATATTTTTTTTTTTATATTTTTCAATGATAAATCTGAAGATTAGGAAAATGGTAAGGATAATATTTAATTAATCATTTCTACTACATGTAATACTGACACAAAATTCGACAGGGATTTCTGATACAATGGGTGCACGCAATCGGGGCGTTGGGTGAAAGACTTATTACTACATGTATATAATGCATGTATATCTCCCAAAGCTATGGAAAATTCCTTTTATTACATGTTTATGTCTCAAAACGTGTCGTACATTAACTCTTCTTTACAAATAATTCATTTTTAAAAAATAAATCAGTTCCATATATCAAAAGAGCCAGTTTGTATTACACTGAGCTTATGAACGATTTCATTGTGCATGTAAAACGTCAAATGACGTCATAGTGCATTTTGTGTATTTTACTCGTAAAAGTTCCGATATTCAACAACAAATATCTCTGTAACGGATGCATGTATCTTATAATGTCCGGAATAAAAAAAATGTAGGACATATTCCCAGCTTTCAGGTTATGGCATTCATTTTTTATTTTATTGTGTTTGTAATTTAGATAAAGCCAACAGAAGATAGCACAAAATCAGTCATTTATGCGTAGTTTTATCAACTTCCTGCAATGAAATGCAATATTCAATTTAAGTTTATGATACTTTCTGAACATAGCACAGAAAATTTTTGAGTAGAAAAAATGTTTAGTATCTTCTCTAGTTTCAGAAAATATCAATTGTTTTGTTGTCACCTGAATATTTAGAAAACGCCAACAGTTAAATATCTGTGATGCTGAAAATGCGTCCAAATGCGTCTCTGGGGGTTAAAGGGTTAAAATTTGTCTTTTAAATTTTCAGAGAGGTCCGTGTTTGCTCTGCTCCTATTTTGTAATGTTTAATGGACTTTTGAGCTCGAATACTGTTCGTTACTGTTCTCAACATATTTCATTTCAATAACGTCATGTATAATAATTTCAGTTGGATTATGCGTTTTAGTTTTAGTTTGAGGGTAGAGGAATCATATTTTTATTCAATTGTCACATTTTGCTATTCTATAGGTCTTTTTATCCGTATATATTTTTTTATTTGCAGGCAAATGCATGAACTATAACACAAGTCGCAAATACATAACTGACCACTCATAGATGTATGAACATCTTTGATGATGCTGTAAAGCAGGCGGTTCTTCTTCTTTTTTTTTTAACACTCTAGTTTCATTTATCTACCACAATCTGATAAATCATTTAATTAGCCTTATTTGTATATTACAATAGAAAAGAAACATTATAATATTTAATTAATTATATTTATTATTGTATTCAATAAAATAAACGCACATGTTATGTATAGTATGCTAAAAATGACGTCTTTCCATGTTGGTTTCCATGTCTGTCTGGAAATTCAGCATTTCTTGGCCTGTATCGTTCCGTCATAAGGGATTCCTTCGAAAGATCTTGTAGAACAAATAGAAAGATCTTTTTTAGGACCATTCCTGTTACTTACAGTCTTGACATTTACTGTTGAAATGCAGAACAGTGTAAGACAAAACATTCACAAAAATTGTGCATTCTGAAGATCTTTATATTTCACTCTCATATATTCCAGATCGACAGCTAAGGCACCAGTATGGCGTGGGACCCTGTGTTATTTTTATTCTGGATACATCTACAAGCATTCAGGGACAAGGTGTCCAAGAACTTAAAAACATTTTTAAAACAATCATCGAGGGTAGCTATATTTTTTTTCCATTGTTTTTAAATATATGACCTGTCATATGTTGCATTTTTACTTTTATATTTGGCATTCTTGTGTAATGTCAGCATATAAAATGATTTTTGTTGGTAACGTTGAGACCGTATAAACCGAGGTCCCGTGTCGCAGTAACTGCTGGCACGAAAAAGATCCCTCATTGCTCAATGGCCCTGAGTGCCGAGTATAGGTCAGAATTTGTGGTGGCGTCTCCATATGAGTGAAAAATTCTCGAGAGAGACGTTAAAATATACACAAACAAACAAACAAACATCATAAATTGGATAATTAATGCGAACTGTTGGTTAATATTGATTTAAAATTTTAATTGGGTAATTAATCAGATATTCCTAATCGTATATCAATTTTTATTAAAGTTATTATTACATAACCATTTAATGTGATCTACATCATTATATGTAATCTAAAATTGTGTTAATTAATAAAGTCACAGTGGTAGCAAAGTGCAACATAACCTTTTCTTTCTATATTATGTTTTAATATGTATAAGATAGAGGGCTGAGGTGGTTAAATGACATTCAACTACACGAGTGGAGAAAACTCATACTATTGGAATATGTATCGAATTATGCTATACTGAGACTCTGGGGGATTCAATCCTTATCAATTATGGATAAATGAAATTTTAAAAAATCGCCGAACTCGTAAATTTTGTTTGAATAATAATGCTAGAGCTGCATTGACACAATTTTTTTCTCAACTCGTCATATTTTTTTCTTAAATACATAAAACGTTTTATATCCAATTATAACAAATATACAACGCAATCATTGAATTTTCAGTACAGTTGTACAGTGTAAATATTGATCATAAAGACTGTCAACAGGATCTTGTATATTAGTTTAATAAAAAGTTTAAAAAATGCATAAATAACTTTCTCTGCTCTTTCAGCAACAAATCTGTTTTACACGTTGAACTTTAAAATTAATTGCAGCAGATCAGCTAAGTAAAATGCATATGAAGTGCTCAAAGGTCATTGAACATTTAAGCAAGCATTTATTAGAAAAAAAAACATTTATAGGAATTTTAGAATATCTGTCATGTTTCAGTTTACGGAATACATCTAAGAGGGCTTGAGCTTTTTATCATCGATTTACTTAAAAATGTGTTCATATTCAAAGATTATATTTTATGGCGAAGGAATAACCAGTGATGAACCGCAGCGCCAACAATATCTTTACAGAGATTTTGCAGGAATCAGAGGCAAGAATGAACGAGTTCATTGATTAATTCGTATAGGTGACAGAGGTTAACCCTTCGTCGGTATTATAATCCCTTAGTTTGGAGTTTGGGTATTACGTTTATCTGATTACTGTGATTGAGTTAAACAAGTCTAATATTGATGCAATATATCAAATCGGCGGAAAAAAACTTTTTCATCGTGAAAGTACCTTGGAGCTATGTGATACAATTTAAAGTGCTAATTTAGCTCAAACATTTCAAAGTATATTGTGACGTAGTGTAACGTCAAATAAGTGTTGCGCTTTAGCAGAGTTCATAATGACGTCATTATGTTATGTTATTACGTTAACAATTAGACAAATAGTGCGGGAAAAGTTTAAATTTACTACCATGATAGGGCATTTAGCACTGGTTGAAACAATGAAATAAAATGTTTTTCCTTGGTTTCACGTTCTTTTTCGGAAGTCTTGTTGTAGAACTTGTACATTGGAAACACTGAAAGTTATGAAATATGTTTCTTGCACATGTTCCAATATGTCCACTTACGGCAGTGCACTGGTACTCGGCTTGACGAATCTGTTGACGATGGACGGTCATTTGGTGTCTAAGGGTGTCCCCGGTTTGGCCAATATAATACTCGCCGCATCCTGAACATGTAATTACATATATCAAATTAGAACTCTCGCAGGTAAAAGATGAATGAATAATGAAATTTTTTTCGTTTTTAAAAATAAACTGTTGGATTTCTTGTAAATAGGGACATGTTCCACATCTTGGGTGATGACATTTTCTAACAAAGAGTGTTACTTTTGTATTGTTAAATATTGTTAAAATCTTCTTTAAGGATGGGCTCTGTCGTTTACTTTTGATTAACTGAAATTCACTCAAAACTTCTTTCATTCTTGGATCATTTCTAAAACTGGCATGTTGGTTTTGATGACTTGGAAAAATTCTTGATTTTTTGGGTTGTGTGTTGATACAAAGGGAATAAGATTTTTTTCTGGTTTTTCTTTTATCTGAAGTAGTCTTGTTCTGTCATGTAGTTTAGCGTTGTCTATTCCTTTTTCAATCAGTAAGGTAGGATAATGCATTTGTTGTAATAATTCCCGTAATTCACCATGTCTGATATTTAAAAGATCCTTGTCCAATATTATGGTACAAAGTCGTCTGGCTAAATTATATGGAATATTGTTCTTGATGTGTTTTGGATGGCAGGAATCATTGAGAAGATATTGTTTCGTGTCCGTGGCCTTGTAATGTACATCAGTTTCGATTTTCCCATCTTTTTTATGACCATTACATGTAAAAATGGTAACTTGTTTTCATCCTTTTCCATTGTGAATTTTAAGTTGAGGTTCATGTTGTTTAAAATGTTAAAGTTTGTAATTCATTGGTAGATTTGATCCAGATTATAAAACAATCGTCTAAATATCGCTTCCAGGAATTTTGAATAAAAATTTTACATTCAACATCAATATTTTCTTCCACGGTTTTGTACATTTTTTCTTCAAGATATCCCAACGTAAGTGTGGCATATGTCGTGTCTGTAGGTTGTTCCATCGAAGTTCATAAAGTTATTTTTCAATATGAATTTCGAGAGCGTAACAATCAAACAACAGCGCAACGAGAGTGACTTGATTAGCTATGTAAAACGTATGATTGCATAGGTAATTTATTAAAAATATTATTATTGTCGAATGCTACTTTCGTAAATAGTTGAGTTGTTTGTCACTTTATACACCATGCCAACGGTCCTGGACCCTCCATCTTGATTACCCCATTTCCAGTCAGGCCCTATTTAAGAATATATTTGATTATTATCAGCATGGTATTATGAATAAAAAGCTGAAAAATAAATTATTTAAAAAAATTCAAAAATAAAAGATATGGATTACCTCGCTGAACATGACATCCTAGGCCAATTGTTTCGTTGCCGCCTAAAATTCTTGGTTCATCGCAAATCTCTACGTCATAAAATGAGTCACCATATCGATAATTTAATGTCAGGCCGTGATCCCATCAAACATTTAATCAGCCAGCTAAATTAGTTAAATGGTATATTTTTTGTGATATTTCCTGTAATTGGTAAAGTATTCATGGGCAGTGGGAAAGTAAACTTTTTATTACTTGAAATTTCCTAAGTAAAGACTTACTTTTTAGTACACTTGATAAGATCAACATATACAATATAACTAGACATTAACCCGAAAGAAAAGTGACTTGTGTATGTGATTTTTTTTAATAATTCATGATTAAATTAAAAAGATTTTATAAAAGAGAAGCCAACAATCCCAGTGAGCTTGTAATAAAAGAGACCACAAAATCTGACACATCTGTTTCATATAAGGATATTTTATTAGAAAAAAACTTTAATGATGACCTAACAACAAGGCTTTATGAAAAACGTCATGAAATCAATTTATCCATCGTCCACTTTCCTTACTTATGTAGCAATGTACCTTCATCACTTGCATATGGGTTTTTTGTCTCCCAGTTGATTCGATACGCAAGAGCATGTTCTACGTATTAACAATTTATGAAACGAGGCAATCTATTGACAAACAAGTTGATGAAACAAGGATATCAACAGTCTCGTTTGAAGTCATTATTTTGCAAGTTTTATGGTCGGCACAGCGACCTTGTCAGCAAATACAACCCATCATTGATTCAAAAGCTGACCGATGCTTTTTATAATACATGTAATTGTTAGGCCATTATTTACACAATTGTCGACGGATTTTTCCGTTTTTCATGATCAATACAAGGAGCACACAGCGAAGTGACTGGTCGGCAGGGGATGATCAGTCCTCCATGGCACCAGATCCCACCTCTGATGTTTTTTTTTTGTTTTTGGAGGTCCGTTCCCGATTTGTATTGTCTATATGGACCCTGAGCTTCAATACAGATCGTTATCTACCTAACCATTTAAAAAATATTATGATAAGGAAACATGTAACCTTTGGCTGGGTTACCAGTTGTTTAAGGGATACAAAATGATACATAAATGTCATTAGGCTTGGTCCCTATTGCAACCCCCAAAGAGCTGGGCCATGAAAATGACAATTTTATCCATTTTATTCAAAGATTATACATACATATATTTATAAGCATTGGCTGTAATAGGGGCAGAATTAGGAAGAAGCAAAATCTCAACTACATATTACGTTCTCAGGGGAGGCATACTGGCTTCTAGCTCTTCGTAATGTTCTTTCATCAATGTCGTCATTGGAGGCATCATCTAATGAGTATGATGTGAATGTGTATCCACGACGATTAATTTCTAACATCTGATCCTGTTATGCAAACAAATTTATTGAAAAAAACCGAAGAATACTAGCTTACTCTAGATAAAGAGCAGGAGCCACTTAGGGCCTTTTTTAGGCCCTGAGAATTTCTGTAAAATCGAAACTGCTCAATTTTGGCTGAAAATGCAGTATTTATAAATTGTACCCTTGCTGACCGTGTATCTATTGAACATGACGTAATTTTCTCTCTAGTCAATGCATTATGGCGTCATAAAATGCATCATTTTCCCCATATCATGTAAATTCCCTTAAAAATGGCCAAAAGTTGAGGTATTTTTTGCAATATTTCATATAGAGCACAACCTCTGATCCAAAATATGCAATTACATAATGAAAGATCTGTTTCTGAAGGTCTAAAAACATGTTTTAATTTTTGGATCGTGGGCTGTGCTCACATTTTAATTCTTTGCTGAAGTAGTCAAATGTTTCCTGCAATGTTTTCTGCAAAATTCAAGAACACTGAATTTTCTCACAGCCTGTTTTCCAATACCTGGATTCTCAAAAAGAAATTTTGTTTTGGGAAATGAAAGCACTACGTCTCTACTTTATTTTGATATATGAAACGGGACAGAGGGTGATAACCAATTAATTGATATAAGGACAGGGCCATTTTATGCATAAAGTGAACCTAGCTTTTTGTCTTAGCCTTAAGATTTTGTTGTGCAAAGGTCTACTGGTCAATAAAACTACGTTGTGGTAAATGCAATATTATATTTAAACTTTTTGCTGCGTATACACCACAAAAAGCTGTCTAATGCAACAAGTGATAAATCCAATCATGGCTCCTCCAACGGAAGTTCATCATGAGAAAATAATTGAATACAATTCAGATTTCAAGAGAATTTAAACAAAAAAAGTAAATAAGCATACATGTATGTTGCCAGTATTTGTATGAGTGATCTATTTAATGCTGTGTCAAAAAGACCAATAATACTGGTTAGAAATTTTCTTGTACAAGATGATAAGACGAAGATTTATATATTTCGTTTTAGATATGACTTGTTTTATAAATAACTATGAACCTATATATAATATACTTTAGCTGTCGATAAAATAATTCCCTGGTTATATATTTCAGTTACATAAATATGTTTTCCTTTGTTTGACATTGATGGTATATATTACAACTTTTCCAGGAAATCGATATCTATTTCAGATTGGAGATTCATGAAATATATTGATTTATTTAAAACAAATTTTAAGATTGCTGTAGTTTTTCTTCTGGTAAGAACTATAAAATGTTGTTAGATGACATTACATTACGTGCTTTAACCGTACATTAAGCAAGAGGATAACACATGCATTCAAATTATATGTTTTGATATATATGAATACAGAGTAATTGATACTTATATTTGTACTTATGTTTTAGAGTACATAAATTGTTTAGAACTAGACCATTATGTTGCCGCCATTCAAAGAAAAAGATGAAAGTCAAATACATGTAAATAAACAGTTATCTGTCTTTCTAGCAAAATGAGTGTATTTTGTTTTTAAATAGAAAGAATTACTACTAAGTAACGAGTGTTAAATAAATCAGTTTAATGAAGAACAAAGATTACATACAAATATACATATTTACAATAAGTCAACATATGTGTTTAGAATCATATACATGTAATGCAGCGATATCCTTACTTTAAGTATGCTGCTTAGGAGTGAATAAGATTTGAATTTGTTTAAAAATATTTTGATCCAGCAAAACTTTATTTGTTATAAAATATTTTTAGAACATGACAATCCAGTAACATTTTGCAAGTATTATTTTGAAAAAAAAAAAAAAACTCATCCAGATTAAATTTCTCAATTAGCTGATTAAGCATACAAGTAATCGATTCATAATCTTAAACAAGACATGTACAGCAATAGAATGTATTTCACCATTTTTAAATGCACCCTTATAAACGCTTAGGATTTCTTACCTCCTATCAAATTATGCATAAAAATTTAAACTGTTTCTCCTTATGTTTTATATGATACATGTATAGAAACATATCTTTTTTATGATACATTTATAGAAACAATGACACCTTTTCTTTTCCAGTCATTGAATTATTGATAACATACCTTCAAATGATGATGAATAGATAATAGATTTGATGAATACGTATTTCATTACACATAATTAAATTGCACAATAATGACTCTGATGTTTATTGGATTTAGAAAAAAAATACCAATAAAGGTCTGCAGAATTGGACATTATAAACATAACTTGCAGGAAACGCATCATTGTTCAGCGATCAGAGATAAAAGTCAATTTTACGTAAAAATTGTCAATTTCATACCTATAAAAAAGTGATTCTGTTCATACGCACCAAATTTTTTTTTCTGTGTTTTCATTATTTTAAACTTTCCCATCTGTTGCCTTTTATATACGTGGTATTACATGACACCTTTATAAGCCCTTAAATTCTACATGCACCTGCCTTAGCATAAAAATTCAAAATAATTCATAAAATTAAGGATTAAATAGTGATTATGCAGCAATAAATAAATAAATGTCTAATTCAATCAAAACAAAATGTAAATTAAAAATGTTATTGAATTCAAACAATATCTCAATCAATGTTCAGGCTTGTTAATTAACAGCTATCAATGATTCATTTCATATATCATTGCTTTTGCTGTCAAGCTATTGGTATGGGCCTCAAAACATCTAGGTATTGCTTGTAAATCCTCATGCATCCTCGACTAGACCTGGATATTCCCTATGTATTCACCAAATAAGTTGAATACCACGTCTGGTCTTTGGTTGTGTTTGTTTGTATGTTGTTTAACGTCCCTCTCGAGAATTTTTCACTCATGTGGAGACGCCACCACTTCCCGGTGGAGAGCTGCAAATTTTGTCCTATACTCGGCACTTACGGCCATTGAGCAGTGAGGGATCTTTTTCGTGCCAACACCTACTGCGACACGGGACCTCGGTTTATACGGTCTCATCCGAAGGACCGGTCTCCACGTCCCACAGTGGGATTCGAACAAGCGACGTAAGGATCAACTCCTTACTTCGCAATTCTAGAGCAGACGCTCTAACCACTGCGCCACGCGGGCGACTCCGGTCTATGGTATATCAAACTATCAATATGATTTACTACGTGCCACAATTCATTGTTACATCATGTTATTAGTTATTTGTGCTAGAGAAATTATTCATTGGAAGGTCACGTTATTTACCCCCAACCCCAACCCCCCACACACACTTCAGCCAGTTAGTACGAAAATTTATAACAAGCTTGCTAACCAATCAAATATAGTGTTATAATCTATCTAGGAAATAAGAATATTGTATAATACAATATATATTTACAACTTAAAGAAAATCTTATGATTAGAAGGTGAAGGTCTTTGTTTCTTCATAATTACATTTATAATTACATTAATTTGTGGCATGACTTCTATTGTTTTCGAAGCGTCTCACATCGAAAGTTTCTCTCGATGATATGTTAATCAGCTTCATCTTCGATAAAACCAGTCTAAACCTGTAAAATTAATCAAACGAAAATAAAAAACGTATATGTTTAAATAATTTGTGATCCTTTGCCATGTTTAAGTTAATAATGAATACTTACATTTGTCCATTAATTGCCAGTAGTATTGTTGATCTTGAATTCTGAGCAAATGACTTGTCAATTTTCTGATTTTCTGCCTTTGGAAAATTATTCCATCTGCCTAACTTGTTCTTCCATTGCCACAGAAATGCCCCATCATATTCTTTGTAACTTTCTAGGTTTACCTCGCTCTGCAGAGTCTTTTCAATGTTTATTAAGCCAAAAGTGTCTTTCTCATTGTACTGTTCCGATTCTAATAATGCTTTACCTACAACAAAAGCATAGCTAAAACGGTGAACTTGCATTAAGTTTGATATATCTAGTTTTGAAAAACGCCACTAGTAACCTTAAATCTGCTCAAAATCCTGATTCCATTCACTAATTCTTAAAGTTCAATGTACTAAAATGGCTTTCTTTATATTTCAAAGACTATTTAGGTATAGCCGGAAAATATTTTGTACTGAAAGAGTTTTACCTTTAGCTCTGACAAAATTGCCTGTGCTGCTGTCACCAATGCATATTGACTTTCTACTGCATATTTGTGAGCCTACTATGCTTTCATCAAATGGATCGCTGAGTTAAATAAAAGAAAATAATTCAGTTTATTTCCCTAGGTTGAAATTTTATTGCTTATGCCCCAACCTTGATTTTCTGCTCGAAAGTAATGATTTGTTCGTAACAAAGTTGTCAACCTATGTTAAAAATGTATGTAGACTTGTTGCCCATTCGCAAGGATATCAATTTCGCTGAAATTCCCAAAACATTTAATTATTTAAAACTTTTCGTCAGGTTAAGATTTTGAACTTAAATTAATCTTAATGTAATGTTTTATCTTACTTTGATGTAAAGTTTACTGTTTATTGCAATGTTTATTGAAATATGAGGTTAAATAAATTAAGAAACGTTTATACTTTAGTGTGGAAATGCTTATTCTTTAAGACTAGATAGACAAACAAACAGACACCAAAGAAAGTAATGTCTTTCGTGGTCATCCTACGTAAACAAAACAAAAATGTAATAAAAATTTTTGAACATAACTTACCAGACAACAATGTCATATTTTTCATCATAACCAAATCTGTAATTACTTTTGTTTCCATTTGACCAACGTACCTGGAATAAATAATGTAAAAAAGCCTAATCTTGATATAGCTTCGGAAAATGATCAGCACTAAAACATGTTATATCTACTCAAAATCTTCACTTGGAAACTGCTTTTGGATACTTATTGGTGGGATAGTTTTCAAATTACGTAAACTGCGTTTTCTTTGACTCTATAAACAGCTCCGATATTGCCTTCACCACCATCCTGATCTCCCCACTTCCAATCTGATCCTAAAATTAATTTTTTTAATATGATTATAGAATCTATAAATTTCTAGTAAGCGTTATCAATGGCCGTAAAGTTAAATTAATTTCTTTAGAAAGATTTTCAATTTCCACATTTATACTTTAAGAAAATGTATATGAGAACAATTATCCTTCTCATTAAATGTATTCTTTAAAAAAAATACATGCACTACAAAATTGAAAGAAGACAATTAATAAGTCATTTGATAAAAAAAATTTACCTCTTTTAACAATGCATCCCACAGCAATGTTTTCTCTTTGGAGTATTCGAGGCTCATCGCAAGGTTTGATTACATTTTCTAGCTGTTGACTGTCGCTAACATATTCATAGGGAAACCTCAGTCCCGTGTCCCATTCCACGAATACCCATCCATCTTTTATATATATATATATATATATATATATATATATATATATATATATATATATATATATATATATATATATATATATATCACAGGCCCTTAGATCGCTTTAAAAAAATTAAGGTGTTAAAAAAAATAAAGGTATGGAACTCCTTTCATAGGGTACCCACATTCGCCAATAAAATACTTTTAAATCAAATGATCTAGAACTCTACTTTCTATTCACAACTATTCACATATAAACAATCTACGTTACTACAAAAGTTCTTTCCGAAATTCCGTATACTTCCCGAGATATGCTGAAATCAATTCCAAAATTGGCCTTATTTTTTTACTCGACATTAGCTTGGGCCTCTGAATAGTTACACTAATTGTAAAGCGGGAACGACGAGACGAATTCTTCCCGGAATTTATTCTATACTCTCTGAATATTTGTTTTTTAGCACTCAGTCTCTACAAAATTTTATCTGATTTGATCATATGGTCTTATTAAGTTACCAACAACATTTCAGCGGTATAATTTTTAAAAAATCAAAAGGTATATTATGCACTCCGGGAAATTTTCGTTCAATCATAGTTCTTTTTACATTTATAAACAACATGGCTGTGAAGTTGTTGAAACAGACGTTTTCTAATTTTTTTTTCGCGAAAGTAATTATTACGGACTTAACTTTACGATCTGGAGTAAAAAATCAACTTTAAAATGTTGAAAGATTGTGCAAATACTATGCAGCTGTTCGCTGCAGTTCAAACACCGTCTGTATACATGTGGATAACCAGGGCCCAAGCTAATGTCGAGTAAAAAAAAGTAGGTCAATTTTCGAATTGATTTCACCATATCTCGGGAAGTACATGGAATTTCGGAGTGAACTTTGGTAGTAATGTAGAGTGGTTATATATGAATAGATAGGAATAGAAAGTAAAACTCTAGAACATTCGATTTAAAAGTATTTTATTAGCGAAAGTGGGTACCCTATGAAAGGAGTTCCATACCTTTATCTTTTTTATACACCCCGACTTTTTAAAGTCGGATTTAAGCGATCCAAAGGCCTGTGATATATATATATATATATATATATATATATATATATATATATATATATATATATATATATATATAAATTGTAAATGAAAGCTCTCATGTTTTACTGTGTTAATTTCTTTAGTGTTTTCAATTTAATCATTTTCATTAAATAGAGAGAGAGAGAGAGAGAGAGAGAGGTATTTAAGTTCCTTACCTCTATCCCAGTGTCCTGTAACTGTGCCAGGCCCATTAGAGTCCTGATTGCTATAGTGCCAGTTTGGACCTCTGCGTACTCTTGTTCCAGGTGCTAGTAGACTTTCACTACGCTCGCTATAAACATCGTGTTCTAAATGTTCCTCATTTCCATACACAAAGATTTCATATGCCCGTCTATTGTTCAATATCTCCACAACATTTTCCTACAGTTTGATGATACTAAATTTTTTATCATCTACCTAAGAAAAGCACATACTATAGAAAAATCTCCATTGTTTCATTGATGAGAGATGAAATGTAATGGAAATCGGCATCCACAAAGAAGAGTTTTTTTTCTGTTTGTTTGTTTTGTTTATGTGTATTTGTTTTATCAAAAAACTCATATGTTTGGTTTCAAATTATTTTCAACACTTTTCCTAAACATGGTACAGTGTACATCCTAAATATGCTACATTTATCTGAAAAGAAAGACACCGCCATAAGTAGCATCATAAAGTATTACTATTTTTAGAGGATATTGTTTATTATTAAAAAAGGGTTTATTTTACTTTTTATTAATGTATTAGTCACTCAAGACACATTAACCTGTCTGAATTATGATTTGTAATTCTGCATGCATTACTTTATTAAAAAAATATCACTCAACCCAATTAAAATTACATACATATCGATGAATTCCACAATTAACTGTATTCGAGGCAATGAAAGGACTTTTAACATAATTTTAAAAACTTACATATGAATGCTAATGTACTGACTTAATGGAAAAATCCAACATTTGCCTTGATTCTGCATACTTAAGCAGTTATAAACAGCTAATAGTGTCTAATTTTGGTTAGCGCGACAATTTCATAACTTATCCATATAAAAGTACTAAAACGGGTCGCCAAAAATTCTTATAGTATAAACAATAAAAATTAATCTAAACCTAATCACATCTTGAATAACTTTAAAGTAAAAATGTCATGAATTCATCACTTTTAATGAATTCAAGAACAAAATACAACAAAATTTAAAAAAACACGTCACTTTTTGCAGTTTTATTTTTAGGACCATCCAAATGCTTAATGAACGGAAAATGTCACAAGTCATTTGACATATATAGCCCTGGCCGGCGGGATTTTTTGAAATAGATTCTTGTCAGAGACGTTAATATTGAGATTAGGCCAGATTCTTAATTCCTCTTCAATAAACATTCGTTTCATTCTCAAAATGTGTTTTTGTTGGTTTATTTTTCTTTGCAATTGTTTTTGTTTTGTTTTGGTTTGGTTTGGTTTTTTCCCTCAATTTTCTTGAAACATTTTTGATATAATGCAAAAAATATTAATAACCTATAAGTATAAGCTAAATAAAACAATAAACAATTTATATACCAATCAATAAACATCCTAGAAACCTAAAAATCTTTATAAATTCATTCTAGGAGGATGACTTAGGTGATAATGAATGGTAGGTAAGCTGTTACTTGTACATTGCTGCAAAAAATACCCCAAGAAATTAGTATAATATTGTACTTACCAAATCAGTCTTCGTTATATCACTCTGATGTCGAGAAGATAAAACAATGCTTTTCACATCATCAATAGTACAAAATGTGGGTGGCACGTTGCCTAGAATCTCTGAAGCAATTATCTAATTAAAACATAAGAATATACTAAAACAAAATGAAAAGCTTAAAAAATTATAATAATTAATTTAATATTGATGATAATACTTAAAATAACGAGAATATAACAATAATGAAGTAATGTAATATACCATACTCAACGTATATTTTGCGAATTCTTTGGCTTCTTTATAATTTAGAATTTTTCCTCCACGAGATCCATAGGCAATACTACCTAGTAAACACTGCAATAATAAAAGGACTAAAAAGATAAGATTCTCGTTGCGAGCAATAAGTAGGTCTTCTGAACGGTTCCGGCTAGTATTGGAAGTGTAAGAAAATTGCAGATTGAACTCAAAGGATACAATCTTTAAAGTTTACCCCTCCACCAACCCCCAAATACATTATTTAGACAACATCTGGTTTGGATGAACCATACTTCCATTGCGGCAAAACACAAAAAGCACACATAAACAAGATCTTTCATCCCTGAAAGTTTCATATCTCTTCAATGTTTTTTTTTATCGGAGAAACCGCATGGACAATATCTCATTATACGAACAGAAAACCGAATTGCGACTGGAAATGAGGTTGTCTAAACAAAAATAATGACGCAAATTCAAACGCTGAGAGTTTATAAAAATCTAATAAGGCTTTTGAAGAAATTAAATTGCTGCACAAAATCGATAAGGGTAATAACAGTGAAAAAAAAACCTGAAAGGGCCTTCCATTGAATGATAATAATAATGATGATGATAGTAATATTAATAATAATAATAATGATTTTTTATTTATTTTTTTATGTGGCTGGCTTTTAGCATTGGTTTTATAATGCTCTGTGCAGTCAATAGCAAGCATTAAATTTATTTCAAACATTGATTACAAATATTTTATAAAAAAAAAAGTCTTGATATGTTAATTTGAAAATTCTCATTTCAAACTTTAAACCGCTTAATTTGGATTTCAGAATTTGAAGAAGTGCAATTTTTGTATCGAAAATGGTTAATAAGAAAGAAACCAGTTATATACATTTATCTATTTTGCTAGTTTTAAGACTCGCTAGTTAATTCCTATACAGCTGTAAACTTACAATATTTGGGTCTTTTCCAACTGGAACACAGATAATGGGATTTGTTTTTCCTATTTGTTTCACTTGTTCCAAAAGCTGCACATTCTTCAATTAAAAGTATAGGTATAATGTTCATAGAAAAATTAAGTAAATATACAACAAATAAAACTGGTAAAATAATTAAAAAGATTATATGAAAATTTGGTAATGTCTCCGTGAAATTATAATATTATAATCTATCTGTAATATTAAGAATATTTTCTACTACATAGTCTCCCTCTGTATGATGGTCATAAAATTTTGAATCTGAATCGTCAAAAGTTGTTGGTTTTCCGTCCGAAATAAGAATCACCCTTGCTCGGATATAAAATAAGCCAATGTTTGCCATTCGTTCTGTACGAAAAAAAAATATATGATGGTTATTATCTTATTGCTTTTCGATTCAAATCTAAACATGAGCATTTTAGTACCTAAGACGAAATCAAATAAAAAAATTAATGAAATGTTATTTGAATTCTGTATCAAATTATTTTACTTTTTATCTTCGTAACACAAAGACTCACGTATATCTTCCAAACCAGGGATTGCTAATAGAAAACCTTCAATCATCGGAGACGGACCCGAACAAGAGACATCATCTAAAATGTAAAGAGAACAACTCAATTAAAATTGTATTAAAACAATTAAGCTAATGTCTTTAACCTGTAATATTATCATTTCTTAAGATAAAGTTGAATATATTAAGCTACTTGTCGAATTCAGTTCTTTTAAACAAAATACCTTTTATCAAGATTCGACGAAAAAATGTTTTATACCTCATAATCTTTCTCTATTTGATATTGATAAATATTCAAATAATGACCTAATACTCGCTTCAAAGAATCATAGTCGTTGGAAAAATAGTGCAGGTATTTATTATCTTTTCCAAACTGTATCACTGCGACGTTTTCATTGAGGTTGGGATGCAAAGCGTAACCTATACAAATTCAAATAGAAAGCACAATTACTGAACCAGTATACAATATTGTAAGTGTAAATCATGGTGTATTACAAAACTCTACTTTTAGACTTCCTTTGAGAAATTTCCTGATGTAAATTTTACCTTCAATCATTGAGATAAATGCCTCCCTCATCTGATTAAAACCTTCCCCGTCCATACTCTCTGATGTATCCAAAATGAAAACATTGCTTACACCACGCTGTAGAATATATCTTCTTTTCCAGTCTACGAAATATGCATATAATAATCATATGTAAATTTTAAGCTACATTTGCATACATAAAAGAACAAATATTAATTAATCACAAAGAATATCGCATTAAGTGTTTTTTTTAGAAACAAAATATAATTAAAAATCGGTCGCCCGCGTGGCGCAATGGTTAGAGCGTCTGCTCTAGAGTCGCAAAGTAAGGAGTTGATCCTTACGTCGCTTGTTCGAATCCCACTGTGGGACGTGGAGACCGGTCCTTCAGATGAGACCGTATCAATCGAGGTCGCGTGTCGCAGTAGGTGTTGGCACGAAAAAGACCCTTCACTGCTCAATGGCCGTAAGTGCCGAGTATAGGACAAAATTTGCAGCTCTCCACTGGCAAGTGGTGGCGTCTCCATATGAGTGAAAAATTCTCGAGAGGGACGTTAAACAACATACAAACTAACAAACAATTAAAACGTCCTTTAAGAAGAAAATCCATATTCTAAAATTTTATATATATATTGCTTTAAGCTGCGAAAAATAAAATTCTTTTTAGCCAAAATTTAATCTATTCTTATTTGTAATGATTAATTAAGCTTTGTAAAACTGTACAGAACAATCGGGAAAAAATGTTAAATTGACTTACTTTCCTCGGCTTCTTCCCTCGATCTTTCTCTTAAGCTAATTTCTTCTAGAAAACCGGCCATTATAAACAAAATTCAATTACAGACACCTTGGAAAGAAAGCTGATACTTTTTTGTAGGATTATTTTCATGTATTTCAGAGTTGGTTTTTTTCTTTAGCAGGAAGTTTCAAATGAAACAACCTTCCTCAAAGTCTGCCGGAAAATACAAACATAAGTTTGATCGAATTATACGTCATCAAATAAAAAAAAATCAATCCAAATAAAGTAACTTTGGGCGCTATTGAATTATACATGTTTAAAATATCTTTATCATTTGGAGACTGTAAGGAGTGACTAAATTCATCCATTGATCTTCCTGGACAATAACTACGGTGTTTTTTAGTATATATCATGTGAATACAAGTAGTTGCAAATGTAACTCCGTATAAAGTTCTTCGAATCTTGAATATTAATCGTGCAGAGGGATTGTTTTGCCAATATGTTCATGTATATGCAATAAAAACACTTCGATCAGGTTCAACTTCCTTGCTCACCTTGAAGCTTGAGTACTATTTTTTTATGACTAAAGTAAAATCATTTCCTAATAGTGCACTGGACATTGAGATGAAATGTAATTCCTGAGTGACATTCAACGTGCCTGTAGGTTCTGCTAGTTATGACTCCGATTTGGGATCTTACAATTTTTACAACTCAGAGCTTTTTTGGTGACATGTCATGCTAGCAAAATAAGACCAAAAACATATATGTTTGTGCCGAAATTATCTAATTGCTTTTCGATTCAAATCTAAACATGAGCATTTTAGTACCTAAGACGAAATCAAATAAAAAAATTAATGAAATGTTATTTGAATTCTGTATCAAATTATTTTACTTTTTATCTTCGTAACACAAAGACTCACGTATATCTTCCAAACCAGGGATTGCTAATAGAAAACCTTCAATCATCGGAGACGGACCCGAACAAGAGACATCATCTAAAATGTAAAGCGAACAAACTCAATTAAAATTGTATTAAAACAATTAAGCTAATGTCTTTAACCTGTAATAAATTGAAAATAAATTGAATTATATATTTTTCATACTATTATGCCTCAATGTTTTTAATCAATCTAATGGAAACCCGACCAGAAAACATATTTTCTGAAATAAAACATTTCTGTTTCATGATAAATTAATTTATTGCTTTCTGTTTCTTCAGGCACTTGAAATTGTTTACGTATTATTTCTTAGAAAAAATGTATTGTGTAGTTCAAGTACCGTTCATAAATAGGGTTTAAAGCATAATTCAAAATATGTTTAAATATCTCAAATAAAGCAAGTATCGAATCCTGATAGGACCACGCAGTTCAATATCGCACGATTGAGCATCGACTTAAGATAGATGGCAAGATAATGCGATGGCGCGATTACAATGAAGTGATGGTGCAATGATGTTGACGCGACGATGCGATATCTCGATGACGATAATGCAATGGCGCGACAATGCAATGACGATGGTGAGATAGCACGATAGAGCTATAGTGAACATCGCTTCATCGTCATCGTACCATCGCGCCATCGTCATTTCATTATCGTGTCATCGCTATCGCATCATCGCGCTATCGCTCATCATGTCATCGCATCATCGCGCTATGGATCATCATGCCATCGCATAATCGTCATCGTATTATCGGGTCATCGCACTATCAACCAAAACCTCAATGGTGCGATGATTCGATAGTGAACTACATGGCTTTTTTCGGATTCCATAGCACACAGACAGTGAAAAGTACTAGAATTAAAAAGCTGTAATGCAGCAAAAACAACACAGAAATAGATAATGACAGTAAAGATTATAAAAAAAATATGTATTATCTATGGAGTAAAGGACACTAGTGTTCAAATTTCCGTTAATCTAGCACTAGCAAAAACATATTGTGGAGTTCGATTGAGAAAGGACATTTTACAGTAAGCTAATACAATTCTATAACAACAGGTTTATAATTTGTTTTCTGCATTGTGGATGCACTACATGTATTTATCATTATTGTTAATGGTAGTTTGGTTTACAATATATACAGGAGCTAAATTTGTTCTATCTCCATTAACCAAGAACGGATCCATACGTTTTTGGTACTACCCCTTGCTTTGTGCGTTAATTAAAAAGTTAGCTTTTGACACACATATTGCATAATAAAAGGAAGTTTTTTTTCTTGTTCCTGAGAACGAATGCTAGACCTGGAGAAGAGGTTAGAAATATAAACAAGAAGCCCAAGGTCACCTGAGTATAATACAACACTGTAAAGGATCCATAGAAGTATAAAACAAAATTAACTGATAGCACTGAATGCAAAATATACAAATACAATGAACATTTGTCCATTGTGTAAGGTATTCAATATATGTCACTTGCCTAGTGCTACAATTCAGTAAACAGAGATTTTGCTATACTTTTTATAACGTTGCTATTTGCCACTTGTCACTAATTACAACACGTCACGCTGGCCCTCTGTGATTCTTTGTTCACTTTGATAATGTATAAAAAATCTTTATCCAGTCTCTTGACAACCTCGATTTTACCTGATAATAACTTATTCACTGTCAGACAGATCACCTCAGTGTAAACATACTGCGTACAATTTCAACTTTTGCTAAATATATAAATAATCTTTATGTCAATCTTTTATATTGATTTCCAGGCAAGAATCTGACTTTGAGCATGCTTTGCTTATTTAAACCAAACATTAATTTTTATTTTGTTTCAATATATATTACATTCTTTCTTGTATTCTCATTCAATCAAATAACCAGTTAATTAAATTATAATTACACAATCTATCAAAGAGACGTAACTCTTATTTGCTTCACTTATTACAATTGCGTACTAGTGTTTGCCTGATAGATACTCAGGAGCAAAGAAAAGGCATATTTACTTATCATAATATTTAATACATTTACATTGATATCATTGCATTTAGTTTGTTTGCTAAGTACTCAGAGGCAGGAGAGAAGATATTCAAAGCATTTATGCATTTTTGCTAATTAATCAATAGAGCACAACCAAAGCACCAGAACCCCTGACCCAGGGGCCATGAAATTCACACATGTAGAAAAGGCAATTTTCGTATTTTGTTTATCCACTTAATACCCAGGAGCAGAGGAGAAGATTTTCAAAGAATTAATGCATTTTTCACTATATAACCATTATAGCCCAACACTGTCACCAGAACCCCTGACTCTGGGGCCATGAAATTCACAATTTTGGACGAGGCACTCTTCCTCACCATAACTATGTACAAATGTAGTTAGTTAATCAGCTTAATACCCAGGAGCAGAGAAGAAGATTTTTGATGAATTAATGCATTTTCACTATATTATCATTAGAGCCCCGTCCTAACACCAGAACCTCTGACCCAGGGGTCACGAAATTCACAATTTTAGAAGAGGTACATGTACCTTTCCTCATATCATAACTATGCATATTGTCTGTTTGCTTATTACCAAGGAGCAGAGGAAAAGCTTTTTAAGAATTAATGCATTTTAAATTAGTAAATAACCATTACAGCAGTGTCCTAACACCAGAACCCCTTACCCTGGCGCCATGAAATTCACAATTTTAGACGAGGCGCCTTTCCTCACCATAACTATCTACTTGGTTCATCAGCTTAATACCCAGGAACAGAGAAGAAGATTTTTGATGAATTAATGTATTTTCACTATATAATCATTAGAGCCCCGCCCTAATACCAGAACCCCTGACCCAAGGGCCATGAAATTAACAATTTTAGAAAAGGCACCTTTTCTCCTGATAATTATATTTATTATTTGTTTGCTTAATACCCAGGAGCAGAGGAGAAGATGTTTAAACAAATAATGCATTTTTCACTATATTTTCAACAGAGCCCCGCCCTACCACCAGAAACCCTGACGCTGGGGCCATAAATTTCACAATTTAGGTAGAGGAATCAATGCTTATTACAATCATGTCAACAGTTTGACTACATGATGTCCAGGAGTAAAGAAGAAGATTTTTAAAGATTGCATTAATTTTAGTGCTTTTGGTCCCACCCCTCAGGCCCCAGTGGGGTATGGACCATGAAATTCACAATTTTTGTTTCCCTTCACTAATGGATACTATATGCCAAAATTGGTTGAAAT